TGGAGTGGAGTGGAGTGGAGTGGAGTGGAGTGGAGTGGAGTGGAGTGAGTGGAGTGAGTGAGTGGAGAGCCGGGCCCCCAGCGGCGACCACGCGCGCCGCAGGCGCTTCTGCAGTCTCTGGACACGCGCGCCGCAGGCACTTCTGCAGTCTCTGGACACTGCGCCGGACACTGCGGAGAGAGCCGGGCCCCCAACGGCGACCACGCGCGCCGCAGCCCCTTCTGCAGTCTCTGAACACTGCGCCTGACACTGCGGAGAGAGCGGCGACCACCTTCTGCAGTCTCTGAACACTGCGCCAGAGAGCCGGGCCCCCAGCGCGCCGCAGGCCCTTCCCCAGCGGCGACCACGCGCGCCGCAGGCCCTTCTGCAGTCTCTGGACACTGCGCCGGACACTGCGGAGAGAGCCGGGCCCCCAGCGGCGACCACGCGCGCCGCAGGCCCTTCTGCAGTCTCTGGACACTGCGCCGGACACTGCGGCGAGAGCCGGGCCCGCAGCGGCGACCACGCGCGCCGCAGCCCCTTCTGCAGTATCTGAACACTGCGCCGGACACTGCGGAGAGAGCCGGGCCCCCAGCAGACCACGCGCGCCGCAGCTCTCTGAACACTGCGCCAGAGAGCCGGGCCCCCAGCTGCGACCACGCGCGCCGCAGGCCCTTCTGCAGTCTCTGGACACTGCGCCGGACACTGCGGCGAGAGCCGGGTGGAGTGGAGTGAGTGGAGTGAGTGAGTGAGTGGAGTGAGTGAGTGGAGTGAGTGAGTGGAGTGAGTGAGTGAGTGGTGAGATCTTGTGTTGTGTGTGTGAATGTGAGATGTGAGATCTTGTGTTGTGTGTGTGAATGAGTGAGTGAGTGAGCGAGTGACTGAGTCTCTGGAGACTGCTGGGAGTGTGAGTGTGCAGTGAGTGAGTGAGTGAGTGAGTGAGTGAGCGAGCGAGCGAGTGAGTGGAGGAGGGGGCGAGGAGGACGGAGGGAAGGAAGGACGGATGCGGGCGGGATGGCAGCCAACAAAACTAGAACCCCACACAGAGATGTGGGGAAAAACCTGAGTAAAACAAGGTGCAAAGTTGGAGGTCATCGCTCTTAGGTTAGAGGCCATCGAAGGCAGGTTGAGAGGCCATCGCTAGTAGGTTGGAGACAAGAAACCACAAGACAGCGAAGCGGTCAAAGTTGGAGGTCTTCGCTCTCAGGTTGGAGGCCGTCGAAGGCAGGTTGAGGGGCCATCACTGGTGGGTTGGAGACACGAAACCACAAGACAGCAAAGCGGTCAAAGTTGGAGGTCTTCGCTCTTAGGTTGGAGGCCGTCGAAGGCAGGTTGGGGGCCCTCGTTGGTCGGTGACAAGAAACACAAGACAAACAAGACAGCAAAGCAGCAAAGCAGCAAAAGTTGGGGGTCCATTCTAGTGGGTGGAGGCCAAAGTTCAGGTTAAAGAACCCCTCACAAAGTTTGGAGGCCTACCTGCAACCTATAGGGTAGTCTAGAGGAGAACAGAAGGAAAGGCACCGACACACAAGTGTGTCGAGTACCATTTCCTCCTGTTCTCCTCAGTAGTGGAACAGGTACACAGTGGGGCGTCCCCCACTGTATCAGCACCTGCTGGCATCCTCTTCGTTGGACGGGAAATGCCAGAGGTGTCCCGTCCCCCTGTTCCAAACCTTAAGGTTCCATTTGATTCCGAGGGCTACACACACATGTGAGTGAATGGGTGCAAGATTTTCAAATTTCCAAACAAGGGTGGTAGGAGGGCAACACGAACATGACAGAGCGAGTGTAACCAGTTACAAGCACTTTCCAACATGTCGTTGTGTTAAAAATTGGCTTTTGAGAGTCCAGTCATGTCAAATAACACAAAATGAAAAACTGTATCTCACTCTTGGGAGAAACAAACTGTAATGTCAAAAACTCTATCTGCGTGTGGTGTAAGGCAATTGGGAGCAAACGGGGGCAAGAGCATTTGAGCCGGCGACTTGTCGGTGAGACAAACAGGTCTTTTTGGTGAGCTATGTTTGCCAGGGTCGTCATTCTTTTATTTTCGTTTCCCATGACCACGGAATGATTGCGCAAGGTCATTGGATCTGCCTTTGCGCTGTGTCATGTTTGGATCACAGTGTGCATTTTTTATTGAATATTGACTGACAGTTTTCAGTCTTGCGGAAATGCAGCAAAACCATGTGATAATCAATTTTGTTTTTACAAAGATTAGCCGTAGGGCTTTTGTTGCAATATCAATATCTAATGGACACCCTGTATGCGGGGTTCTATGGGTGAAGAACCCACATTGTCGAACACATTTTTTCTTAGACCACCCCGTGAAGGTGCCTCAACTTGCAGTTTGTGTCAACACTATATAGTATAACAATAAAACATATTGTTCAACTTCTGATTGTGCGCAGCATGGCTTGGGTGACAAAGAGCGAAAGGTGCGGATGCTGACCAGTGATGCAACAAACTTTTGATCCGTTTTCCAAGATCCTTTTCTTTGAAAGGTTGATTGAGGGAATCCTTTAGTGTCTGAACTCGACGGAATTCAGGTTCAATTGGTCTGAAGAAGATCCGACACGCGCTGCTTCACCCAGCCACGTCCTTAGAATGGGCATGGAACTGTCTACAGTTGTTCACATGCTTCACGGAAGTTTTGGAAGCTTTGCACATTGACATTGACATATTATACACACACACACATATATATATATATAGATGTTCAAAAAAATATTGGTGCTGGGGACAAAACGATCACTCAAACGGTGGAGTGGTTTGTTGATTATAAATTTTGTGGATGGTTGATTTCACATGACTTGTTTGTGGTCAAACTTTACAGTTTTCATGCATTTCAACCATTTGTGTGCTGTGCCAATAGTATTTCGACCCTTTCATGCCAAAAAGACATTTGGGTATCAGAAACATGACATTCCAGTGTCCAACTGAGTGCATGACATCCTGAGGCCCAGGGCAGTATGCCTTGCCAACTTCTTTCAAGGAGGTTAGCTATGCGTTGGGATCTTTTTGAGTCTCCACAGGGTCGACTTGATGATTTCATGTGTCGGCTTGAGAGACATTTGAGGATGGATCATGAATGCATATGCGCGCATTTACCCCGCAGCTATTGCCAATAATGCCCAGGAGGCCAAGACAAAGCCGTGCTATGCTCCGTTCAATTCTTCCTGTGGAGAAGTGCAGGCCCCCCGTTTGCAAACGTGCCCCGCACATTTCAAGTGAACCAATCCAACAGAATGACCTAGTTACTAGCTTCCCTGAGAAAGCTTTTGATCCGTCAAGTTTTTGGAGAGAGAGAGCGAGAGAGAGAGAGAGAGAGAGCAAGCGAGAGAGAGATGACGAAGATTGGAGATCAATAGCAAGTTTCTGTTTGATTTTCTTAGTACTTTGACATCATGCAGCGTTTCGTTGTGCCAGCGACATTGGCATGATTGATGGACACAGATGTCGAATAAAGTTGAGGAGCACATGATATACTGTAATGGTATAAAATCATAAACTGTTAGGTGTGTTTGGGAGAGGACACTTGAGACGGAGCTTCCCTGCATTTTGTGCTCAACGTTTTCTGAGGGTGGGATCTCGGGGAAGAAAGACAATGCGCCGGTGGCCTAATCCATGCCGTGATTATAGCTGCAGGTTCTCATCACTGTCCACGTGGCTTGAAACCAAAGCTGCACCGAGCGATCCCCAATTTGCTACACTGCAGGAAGAGGATAACCTTAATGGACAGTTGAAGAGTGACATGTTTGTTGGGTGTTATCAACCATACTACACGAACTTGGAGAGAACCTTCTCGACCATTCCGCCTGGTGCAGTGCAACTTTTTGCGCCATTGGCCTCAAGAATTGTGACAGGTTAGGCCTTGACCCAGCGCGCTACAGCCCCAAAGTACCAGGAGGCGAGACAAAGGGTGCTGAGTTTCACAGGGGTGCCTACTTGTTTTCCATGAGCAGTTCCACTTTTTTACAGTGATGTGAGTGGCAGTTGAACTGTTGCTATCGCTTTTAATAGCTCATAGGTGTGTGGATTAGACATCTGATCTGGAAGATGAGACATGTGGAAGCAGCTGAAGCTCTTTGAGATGCATCAAAAGCGTTTTTTCGTGCCAGCTTATGACCACGGCTTGCCCAAGAAGCACATACCTTTCACGACTGGAGCCTCAAGGTGGACGGATCTCAATCAGGACAGACAAACATGCATCCAATTTGCCTGTTCATGCCTAGGTGTTGGCAACTTTTGCTTCCCCCTCACGGCCATGACTGACGCCGCATTGAAGTTTTTTCCCCGATGTATTTTTGTACGTCTTTGAAGCTTGTCAACGGTACCATGATGCAGAAAGTGCAATTCCCAAGAATCAACACTGTCAGTGACGAAGTACCCGATTTCATTGTTTCCTGTGGCTGAAAGCCACAATCCACTGGTCAGCATTCCACATTCGCCTCATTTTGTACCAGGAGCTTTGCCTTTCTCGGGGAAAATTCAGTTCTGAGCACATGTGAGGACTTCAGACCTGGTCCTGGCGACTATGCCTGCGCGAGGCAAACGTTGGCAGGTTCGCTTTCAGTGGCTTCGAGCAAGACCATGGGAGTGGCGCCCGTTGGGCAGCTCAGCTCGGGAAAAGATATACCTGTACTTGCAAATATGCTTGAATGCACAGAGGTTGAGCAAGATGCTTGTAACCCCAAGTCAAGTCCCGAAGCCACCATATGAAGCATCTTGTTTTGTGTTCTTTTTGTGAAAGGATGATACCTTTGAAAGTCACCCTTTCGTAGCCTCCCTGCGGGATTCGATTGTGAAGTCCAGGCCGAGCAGCGCATGCTCTTCAAATCGACAAGGCAGAAGGGCCCAGCGTGCCGTGTTGGACTCACGGAGTGCAGCTGGACTCACGGATTGTTCGTTGCAAGATCGGTCACAGTCCAACCAGTTTTCAGGGACTTTGAGGACTTGAGTGTCTACATGTTTCCACTAGAGCTGGATAGGTTACCTTTGTACGTACTAGAGTCGGAACTTGGGGCCTTTGAGTTGGCTGCGTGCCCCGTTTTGCACGTCTCGCGCAGTGCGCCTTCAATTCCTCGCGACAGCCAATGCTATGGCTATGATGAGGTTGGATAGGGCTGAAGGAATTTCAGTTTTGGCCAGTTCTTTTGCGGAAAGTCGGCTGAGCTTTGCTGAAAGCCACTGATCATTGCTCTTGCAGTTTTTGGACTTGGTTGGTGTTCCGCAGGCGGGTGATGGCCGCCTGATCCGCCAAAACCGGAAGGATGGCATACAGCAGCTTTCAGGCACCTTAATTTTGGAAGATGCACGCGCTTTGGGGCAGCGATGTTTTTGCTTGGAATGCTTACTCGACTCTTTGCATCAGGTTGTCAAAGGTCCTCTGTGGTTGCATGGGAGTACCACTGGAAGAGAGACGCTCAATGCCCAACAAGTCACAGTCAATCGAATTGCAAACCTCCGAGTTTGGGCAAGGGGAACAAGCTTCTGTTACTCTTGCAAAGAAGAGTTTGAATGAGTTGATTGGGCTGTCCATGAAACAGGATGAGTTTGCTGCTGTTTGGCTCTCAACCGGTGAAGCCTGAAGCCATCTCATGGGGCGCTTCTCAAGGTGAGTCAGAGCGCTGTATTCCTAAAGCACCCACACCCTCACAAACATACAGACAGTGAAACCTTTATTTGCAACCAAAAGAATCCTGCTAAACAAAAGTGAACTAGAACTGGGTTGCCCGAAAAGCAGGTCCTCCATAAAGATCTTGCAGTGCTTCTCTTACATTGTGTCTTTCCGATGTGGACACGCCTGCGGATTTGCAGTCGAACAAGGGAGTATCGACGACTAGCTGCTGCCTACAAGGCACCAGGCACAAAGCCGTGGGTGGTAGAGCTCGGATGTCATGAAGGCGCAGAGAAACAAGCAAGAGATTGACTCTGATTGACTCTAGCTATCAGGTTGGAGGCCATCGCTATTAGGTTGGAGACCATCGCTTCTAGGTTGGAGGCCATCGCTACTAGGTTGGAGGTCATCGCTT